TCCATATCTAGTATTCGGCAACATTTTGTGCCGGTCACTTTGTTACAATGAATATGAACCGTATATCAGTCCTCGTAAATTATTTGGGTCAATGGCTATAAACATCGTTATGGTAGCAACACTACCATATTCCTATCTTTTACATCTATGGTATGACGTATTATTACTTATTTTTGGTCAGAATCGGCAATATATTTCGGTGTACTTCCTTTATATTGTGTGATCATTGTACAGTTTAACCGCTTCCAACCAAATACATAATAGGATCAGATAACGGTCGGGTATATATATATATATATATCAAAGATTATACAGATAACTTATTGATAATTGAAAACTGATGGGAGAACTCTGTTCTGTATGTTGTCGACAAACTCTACTGAATATCAGGAAGAAAATCGGAAGCCATATTCAGATTTTCGTCTTATTTCTATTTCCAATGGTACACCATAATATCGAGTCATTGAGTTTAACAACCTCACTGTAGTATTGTATTATGACAACCAGATTAGGAGTTAGGACTATTGCATCACGTTCCTAACTTGTCGAAAGGTTTCTTACCTTCCCCTGTTTCGCAGATTTTTTTCACATCATTCTTGAATGTAATCCCACCAAAGGTGGATAGGTTTTGTGCCAATGACAAACCTTTAAAGAGTGAACTAAATAGCCTGTTTTCTAAGTATTCCTTATAAAGCCTTTTTATGTTCGTTTATGTCATATATAATGTCTTTTGCAAAGCATTGGTGAGTTTTTAATGATGAATTTGTATTTAATTTTATCAAGAGGAACCCAAAGATGTTTATGTCATTGTAAGTAATTCAGGTTTCTATTACCAGTCTGCAGAAAATCTTTACATCACGCTTCAAATAGTCATATCATTATTGTTAAAAAATAAAATTGATCGGAATCATAACTACTTAGGATATTGATCTATTTTCATATCGTTCAAATTTTAATGCAATGAATTTGCACTTTTATAGAGTTAGTAGTCAGATTTCTTATCTTTTAAGAAATGGCTTCCGAGTTTCTACTTAGTGTTTAAATTTTATCGTAAAAATACTAGTGAAATTGTAGCCAGTTTATTCTACAGAATTGTAAAAAAGACATGCATTATACTGATATCACTTGTGTTTTGTTCAACATATGAAAAATTGTAATCGTACAAATGTAAACAGCTCACTTTGATCACAGTATTCCAAAATATGTGGTACTTAGTAAGCGTATGAACACCAGAATGTCTAGTTTGATAACCATGTCGAATGTCAATCCAATTGAACAGCTGACTGCACCTCCAAAATGCTATTGAAAGCTGACACCTGACATAAACCAGAATTCACTTTTAATTTCTTCAGATACGTGGTTTATAAATAATTTCAGGAAATCAGATTTTGAAAATCCCCTGCTAAAATTAGTCCCAGTAGATTACTAGATATTACAGTATTATTGAAACGCCTCTATGTACACAAATAATATAAACTAGCGTAGCAGTATCTGAAATACGAGCTATGACAATTATTTGTGTCACATGGTTGTATTACCTTTGGAGTTTAGTTTAAAAATAGTAATCTGGTCGCGTGTAGTCAAATTATTTGATGAGTCGTGCGAATCCTAGAAGGATGGCAGAATTCAAATATGTTCAACACACTCGTTTACTCTTAGGAAACTTTCCACTTCTATTGTTGGGGTGATATACCTTACTATCTATCAGAAAGCGAGTGTAGTATTCGGTATTCTTTTGTGTTACTCTGACTGTAAGACATGTTTGTTTAATTTGAAACTCTTACTTTGGGAGTCCACAGGATAATTGTAGTTTTTGGTTGAAGATATTTGATAATGACTAAGATCGAGTAAAGGAGAGAAGGCACAACAATGTTTTATCTCTCCTTAGATATTGATGACCGCATTACTTACATTTTTGAATTTGTTTCTTTTCTGTCTAGATTTTTGCAAGTGCTGGTGAATTATTTTCACTCTGTAATTTCTCTTTGGTTTATACTAGTCATTTATGCTGAGTCTCCATTGTATGCTTATAAGCAATTTCAGAAGACTATTCTCTGAATCCAAGGTTATTTTAATTTTGAAGCAGGAATATCGTAATTTCCTAAGGGTTGCGCAAATGAAAAAATGGTTTCCAGTTTAGGGTTGTGGGTTTTTTTAATAAGATCCTGAACCGATCTGTGTTAGACCACCATTGAAAATGTGGAAGCATTGAACGGTCGTTTCGTCTTAGTATAGAACCCCTCAGCAGTGCGCGCCCATGATCCTGTACACCGTTAGGTGCCGACTCAGTGGTTTAGAGGTTAAGCGTTCGCGCGAGACTCAAGTTTCAGGGTGCGAGTCCAGCACGCGGGATCGTGGCTGCGCACTGTTGAGAGGTTTCATACTGGGATGAAACGACCGTTCGGTGCTTCTAGGTACTCAATGGTGATCTAACATTGATCGGTTCATGATCTCAATATAAAGAAAAGTGGTTAAATAAACAAGTCTGTCAATCATCACAATAATTCAGGTTCAAATGTTATGGCGCTAAAGAATACCCAAAACTATTGATAATAACTTTGTAGGAATGAGATGTCTTCATGCTAATAACATTTAGTTGATTCCAGACCTTCTGATTTCTCCGAGGCAACTACTTGTTGAAATAACTGCCATGCAAAACACATCAGAAAGTCAGCAACTCAAATCAACAGTTGGTCTTTTGCTTTTGTGGTGGTGATTATTGAACTTCTTCAAACGACCATAGCTACGTTCGTATAAGCGTGTGTAAAACGCGTCAAAGCCAAGCATATAAGTTTACAGCCTTGACTGATACACTTAGTCTTAAAAATGGAAGTTGAGAGTTCCACAACATGCAAAAATTGCTTCGAAATTATCATTAACAAAATATTTACAGCATTAACATGTCTTCTAACTTAAATGACTATCTTAGTCATATATTTATTATTTATTTATTTATTTGGACACATGAATATTGGTACAAGAGAGCGCCAATATATATGCGCCACACAAAACAATGAAAATTCGAGAGGAATACAAAGAAAAAAAAAATGCTAGGGAGCGCAACAAAAAAAAGAGAGAACAATAACGAAGAGATTGGTGTAAGTTAATGTGCTAGTAATCAGGGAACGCAAAGGTACAATCGGAAGAAATCTTTCAGGTAAGGGAGACACAACCACTTTTTATGAAGAAAGTAAAAGAAGGTTACAGCAGGATCGCCACTGGATTCTATTCTGAGCCATATCTGATAACGTCTCTAGCCACTGTGTAGCACCATCTCTCAGACCCCAGCCAGGGAGTCGTGAAGGACCAACACAAGCCAGTCCTTTGCAGCTTTCTTTCATCCGACGACACCATGTCATGCACTGACCACCTCTCCGCTTCTTCCAACCAGTCCCAGAGTCGGCAAATAATGCACGACGTGGAATTCTCTGGGACGACATTCGGAGAACATGTCCAAGCCACCGAAGTCGGTGTTTCAAGATGGTAACACCAATTGAATTATCATCTTTGTGCCCGAACACACGATGCCGAACCTCTGCATTACTGACATGGTGTTGCCACTGAATGTCAGCAATCATTCGGAGACAGCGATGATTGAACACAGAGAGTCGTCTAACGTCCTCAACTAGGAGAGGCCAGGTTTCACAAGCATAGAGCAAAACTGCTCTCACCGACGCGTTGTAGATCCGACCTTTTACGGCTAGACTAACATCACGAAGGCGCCAGAGATGGCCCAGATTGGCATAAGCCGCTCTGGCTTTCACTATACGTGCATTGACCTCATCACTCACACCCCCACCAGCACTTATGCAGCTACCCAGATACACGAACTTCTCGACTACGTCTATCTGCTCACCATCCAGGGTGAGTACAGGATTGGAATCCTGCCAGTCTTGTAGAAGTACTTTGCACTTCGAAGGTGTAAAGCACATACCATACTTACGGACACTGATTGCCAACTTATTCAGCGCGGATTGCATGCCTTGTGCATTATCGCACAGTAAGACAATATCATCCGCATACTCAAGGTCGAGAAGTCTTTTTCCAGGCAACAGATCCACACCACCATTACTTACGTCCATCAGAGCTGTTTCCGGAATGTCATCGATGGCAAAGTTGAAGAGGAATGGTGAGATTGGGCAACCCTGCCTAACCCCACTGCTCGAATGGAACAATGGAGAGAGGTGGTTGTATGCCCTCACTCTGCCTGAGGTGTTTTTATATAGGTCTTTTAGGATGTTAATAAACTTCTCAGGCACACCCTTCTTCAATAGACAATCCCAGAGAACAGTCCTGTCCAACGAATCGAAGGCAGCCCTGATGTCAAGAAACACTACGATTGTTGGCCTGTGATAAGTATGGCGGTGTTCTAACATTTGGTGGAGGGTGAAGATATGATCAATACACCCTCGACCAGAACGAAACCCAGCCTACTCCTCGCGAGTCAATCCTCCTCGAGTTTTGAACAACCTACGAAGAATGATGGAAGCCAATAGCTTGGACGCAATCGGAAGTAGACTTATCCCCCGATAGTTGTTGCAGGAACGACGTGAACCCTTTTTAAAGATAGGGACAACTATCGACTCATTCCATGACGTTGGTACACTCTCTAGTTCCCAAACCTTTGTAAACAACGTCGTCAATTCCTTAGTCAAAAAGTCACCACCATCTTTAAAAAGAGCCGGAGGTAAGTCATCTGGGCCAGGTGATTTGTAATGCTTCAAGAGTTGGAGTTCCTTGCAGACTTCCTTCTCGTTTTGTGGATCAGTCGTCACCGGCCATGGAGGGCAGGACAGTCTGACCGATGTTGCCGGAGCAGCAGGCCAGTTGAACTGCCCTTCGAAAAATTCTGCCCACCGTCCAAGACGTCGATGGATGTTAGTGATTGGCATCCCATCATCCTCGCAGATTGTTTCACTCACATCAGACTTCTTGCTGCCAGTGGCTCGGATGAGCTGGAAGAGCTTCCGGTAGTTACCAGGTGCAGCTGCTGCTTCCAGCTTATTAGCACGCTTCGACCACCAGGCTTCTCGGTCCTTACGCAAGCTTTGCCCAATTTCCTTACGTAACATCCTTCGTTTATGGTCAAACTCACGGTCACCCGGAGTAGACCGACGGGCTTCAATGAGTTGTAAGGAACCAGAAGAAACCCAGTGCTTAAAAGCGGGACGTTTCGCAAACCTACAACTGACTGTTCCCGCCATTTTCATGGCGTCATGCAATTGCAACCAATGCTCATCTATACTTTTCGGTGGAGTGGTAGCTAGCCTAGAGGCTAGCTCGGTTCGATACTTACTTGCAACAGAAGTTGCAACCAGCTTGCTAACATCAATCCTTTGCTGGCGGTCACTTCGTTGTCCACTGAAAAGTAAGGCAAGATTGGCGCAGACCAAGGCATGGTCAGAGTCCAGATAGGTACTCCAAAAGGAGCGGCAGTCTTTTACACAACCACGCCAGCGGTAGCTGATCGCGATGTGATCAATCTGAGTCCAGGCTTGAGATGCAGAGGGAGGACGCCAGGTGGCACATCGGCGATGACTGTACCGAAAGTTAGTGCTAGCCAGAAACAGGTTGTGGTCTGTGCACAGTTGCAGTAGACGGTCCCCGTTATCTGACCTGCGACCAACGACTCCCCATCGGCCACCTAAACGACTCTCTTCTGTGCCTAGACGCCCGACCTGAGCATTCAAGTCTCCGGCTAGTACTACAATATCTGTCGAACGCACTTTCTGGAGAAGAACAGATAACTGGTGGTAAAACTCATCCTTGATTGCATCCGGGCTGCAATCTGTCGGGGCATAGGCGGAGATGACGAAAAGACATCGTTTCTCACGCCGATTTCTTCTCACTTTGATGGAACTTTCTAATCTAACAGTACATAACGGACTGTCAATGGGGATCCAATCGATTAGTGCTGCCTCAGCTCTAGCGCTTAGTGCGACACCAACGCCAGCAAAACCAGACGAAGATGCCACAGGGTCCCCGGATAAGCGCACGTAAAACAAGCTTTTTGAAGTGACAGATGTAGAGCGAATTTGTAGTACTTCGCCAGAGTCTTGAATACGGGTCTCGGATAGACAACAAACATCAATATTAAGACTTTCCAAAGACATAGCCAGCCCTATCTGTTGACCAACCTGCATAAGTGTGCAAACGTTGAAGGCAGCCAGTTTGAATGGCGCACGTGGTTCCAGAAAAACTGCTTCAGTACTCATATTCGATGGTAACATACAATTTTCGACCGGACAGTGACTCGAGAACGTTTAGATACAGTCGGATTTCCACCAAAGACGAGCCGCTGTATAAGTATAAAAGAGGGTGAATAATGTGGAAATAATAATAATAATAATAATAATAATAATAATAATAATAATAATAATAATAATGACAATAATAGTAATAATAATAGTATTAATAATGACAATAATAGTAATGATAATTATTTGAATCGACTGATTGTTTTTCGGAGCGAGAAAAGTGGTTGCCATAGACATAGAGTTCATCGTTTGTGTGTGGGCTGTGATACTGCCCGAGTGCCCAAACTGAAGCACGTGGTTATCTTAGGGGGTCACTCCCCGAGCCTTTGACCTAAAGGTCTAACCCACAAGGCAGTGGAACATCGTAAGGAGACGCAATCCCATGGTAGCCGGTGACCAAAGATTGATTCATACGCCATTTGTTCCCGCAGGATACTGGAGCCCATGTGCACCATTGGTTTGTGATCCGGTTAAGGCGCCGGACATTCGCTTTTCGTCCTCTCATTTTCGTGGACAACACCCCCGCCACGAGAAGGCAATGAGTAGGACTTCCTTGGCAGAGGCTGTACACGTGCGGCCGTGTGAGAGTATTTCGAGAGGGAGAGCGGACTCACCCCACCCTCGGCCGTACCAGGGCATTCAGGGGCCATATATTAGGACATAATGTAGAGCCGTAAGTTGGGGGACCGATTTGGTTACCGAATCATTTTAAATGAGCTTGCAGCTAGTGGACGAGAAATACCAGCCAAATAGTCTACTAGTAGTAGAGCCATATCTCGGTCCGGCTTCTCTTAAACTTTTCAATTAGCTCAGGCACCAGACAAAATGGCATAAATACCAACATGGTGACTACGTATTATAACGCTCGGTTTCCCTTGTCTACACCAATGGGACGTTAATTTGCCTTAAACAAATATCTATACAGATTCCCTCCTAATGTCTATTCTACAGGACTTCAACACAGTTCAGATCAAGAACAAGTGGTTAGCCTGACTAGAACATAAATATACTTTCACACCGAAAATCGACAACAATCAATAATAATAAGGATAGGAGAATATATGACTCACCTAATGCCTGTCAGACTATCTATAAGTTTGACTAAGCAAACAACCAATCACTATCATTGTCGCCCACAAATCACTACGAATTTGTAATACACGTCACAGTCGCTGCAGCTGATTTAAGTTTATTTAGTGTTTCGAGTCAGAAACTTCCATCACTAACTTGAAGGTTCCACTATATTTGAGAAATGCTCCGACGACAACTATGATCGAATATTTACAGCATAAATATGTGTTTAGCTCTTAGCGGCTGTATTGTCATTATAAGTCATACATAGTATATCACCGTATAAAACTTCTTTAGTAGACAATCGGGTGACGTGCACGCTCGATACGTGGCTTAATTTTACGATGATCACAAATTGCAGTATTTCTGTAGTCACTAACCGACCAAAGCTGATAAACTTGGTAGGACGATCAATTTGTCCAGCTGGTTATCATTACCAAACTATGTATTGATGCGGATTATTCCTGCAGTAATGATTTGTACTTTGAATGTTAAAAACATTTTGAATTGTCTTACTGTGTTTAGATCATAATAGGGTAACTTAAAATAAACTTTACACGGTATGAAATGCTAACCTATTTTTCTGTAATAAACTCTCGACGAATCTATTTTCAGAGTGAGCTCGAATTCTTGCAATCCTCTATGCCGCTGAGACAAGGCGCAGAAGTACTCTTACATCAGATTAATTTTGGGGTAAGAACAGGTGGGGATTCCCTATTGGTTTTCTTAGACGGTTGATAAGTCAACTTACCGCCTTATGTCTACAGTTGATACGTTCCAGCAACCAATGGTTTTCAGGGTATAAATCTTAAAGCGGTTGGGGTTATTTGTTTGTTGATTTTAAATTTCAAAAGCATCTCTGAATAAGGCTTAAGTTAAGTTCCTTCTATATGCTTAAGTCACCAGCTATAATTATTAAATCCGAATGGTTGGGTTTTGGAAAGATACTGGGTAGCTTTCGGTAGAATTAACATTTTATTGGGTCTGAACTACAATGAACGAGGATGGGCAGAAACTACAGATCCTAGATCTTTACAGTCCTGTTTTATTGGACAAGACGATGGTAAGTGGGATACAGACTTGGAGTGTTAACTCTGCTTTTCGATCTAACTACAGAAACACTAGTTTCAGTCATATTCAAAGACACGTTAAGATTAAATTATGGAAGTTCACCGTACTGACCAAACGACGCTACGAGAGTAACCACACTTGAGTTTCAAGAAGTTCATATATATAGTGAGGGACTTAGGCTCTAACCATTGATTTTTACTGTTCGATCTAATATGAGGTTCAGGTGTCTAGATTTTCAAGTAAATATATACGGCACTTCTAGTGGCCATGAAGACTATTTCATGAGCTTTATTCATTAACCTTGATTGTTTCCTGACGTATCTAGTGAATGGCTAGTTACATAAAAATGTTGGTGGTAGATATATGCTTGAGCGCCGTTGGGGGTTAATAAACAACCAACATTTTCTAAATAGTAACATCGTGGAGGGACATTTCTACGGAAACTTGGAAAAGTAACTGGGTAATTTTCCATAGTCGCAACAAGTTGAAAAAGCTAGAAATCACAATAAACAATAGCTTGAGGTATCACATAAGGTCACTGTGTAAATGTATGTATTTGTTTTCTTGTCGAATTTATGATTTTTAAGCCCTATCAGTAAGACCGATAACCAGAGAGGTGAGGAACCCCAATTTTATGACTGACCCTCTTAGACTTTCGCTACTGGAAAGGCAGAATTGTTAAGGATGGTAAATATCCAAGGTGAACACTTTACCAATGCTAAACCACCAGACACTTTTACGTAAACAGACGTTGCCAGTCAGTCAGCTACAACGTAGGACCAGGCACATATACGCATCGATCCAAGTTGCCATACCTCATTAACACAACAAGATGAACACCGAATTCATAGAAGTAGTTAATTCAATGGTGGTAATATATAAAAGAAAGAGTGCATATAAGGATATAGTACAGGAAGAAAGAATTAGTTGATAGAAAGAAAGATATGAAGCGATTTCAATCTCATTGCTTAAGGGAAGACATAGAGTGTATACACCTACCCCATTGTGATCGATCCTGAGCCATGTCACCCAGAGTCTCCAACCACTGGTTATGATAGTCGCGCGGGCCCCAACCAAATAGTTTGCATCTACCAACATTACTCAGACCAGAATCTAGTGACTTCAAGGATTGATGCCACGTTTTGGTTTGGTCGCCCCTAACTTTCTTCCAACCGTTTCCAGTACTAGTCAGCCTTGTGCGTCGTGGTAATCGGTGTTCTGGAATTCGTAACACGTGGTCCAACCATCTCAGTGGATGAAGATTTACAAGTTCATCAACTGATTTACCATCATTCCCTAATATCTTGCGTTTAACCTCTCTATTGCTTATCCGGTGATTCCAACAGATGCGAGTAATATTTCTAAAATATCTGTGATCAACAGACGTTGCAAAATTCGGTCACTGGAGTTTGAAATCGGTGACTACATTTGAGGACTAACAACATATGAACTACATTAGTAAATATATGGTAATGAAGTTCTAATTCGTCAGAGATCTGGCTTGCATATGAGCCACAATACTTGCTAACATACCTCTAATATACAGTATACAAAGATATTCACTCCTGCTATTACAAATAATGTAAAAAGAAATGATATCACACCATTAACGCGTACACACGTTGCTCAGATACAAGTACGCCAGATAGCGACATATTAGTTGCACAAAATTACTCCAACTTCATCGGTGGGGTGAGTTTAGGAAAAAATTTAATCCACTAGGGACTAACTACACGGTTAAAATTTCGTATTTGTTAATATGAAGTTCGACTAATATAGATAAGTAACATTACCAGCCATTACACTGTCAGTTATTTATCACTAAAACATCAGTTTGAAGCACTCTTCCTGTTGGACGAACCTAGGTCGTTCATTCACTGGACCAGCAGATAAGTCACATATTTTACTGTCAGTACGGTGATGAACTTGTTTTGGAGATCGGTAAATTACTTCTTGGATTTAAAGAACTGAGTTTTAAAAACGACTGGCAGGTGATGGCAGCAGTGATTTAATTGAAAACGTAGTTCGCACTCTCACGATACTGATTAAATCTAGTCGGAAAATTAGATATTCGCAAATATCGTGAAGTCTGAGCGCTTTGAATTAGTAAATTCCCCCATAAGATGCACTAATGGCTAACAAAAGATGAAACATGGGCTACGGCCAAATATTAATAGATTGAGCTGCGGATAAGTTAATCTATAAACTTACATGATTTTAGCTAACCGAGACTTGACGACACAACTAAGCGATTCCACACGAATATCATACCTTGAAATGAAAAGTGAAAATAAACAACAAAATCAGTGGGATATATTTATTTTATATAAGTATTATAAGAGGATTCGAATGTGGTATGTCTTAAGTGCAGTTGAAGAACAAAGTATCCAATAGACGTAACAGTAAATTGGACGCATTAAGACAGTCATTTAGACAACATAAATATTACTTTATCAACCTCAACAAATAACTGTGAAACTGATTATACAAAATTAATATAGTTTTACTATGCGAACAAAGTATATTTCGTGTGAAGATAAATCACATTGCTTGCAGGGCTCCATTTCCACATTGACGGACAGTTCGGTTAGTTACTTGACCATCTACTTCTTCCGTAATGGTCTCAGTACCATTCTCTACCACTTTTGTCACACGAACCATTTTCCCATTTACGTACTTGGACGATGTTGAAACTGACCTGAAACCACCCGCACATGAAGACCCACCAAAGCTACTGAAGATGGAGGTTGATGAAGAACCCTGGGGATTTCCGAACCCAGAATCGGTAAAAGCCATCAAAGGACTAAACAGTGACCCACCAAACGGAGAGTCAAAGAGTCCACCCATGAAAGGGTTTGCGAGCATGGGATCATAGCTCTGCACTTGACTAGAACGTCCGGCATGATGATAAGGAGATCCGGATTGTCGCCCAGCGTTGCGATGAGAGTTGGACCTGTGAGTTCGACCCAACTGAGGACCGTATTGGAAGTCATGAATACTGGGGCCAAAGAAAGAATCGAGCCCAGAGCCAGCAAAAACTTCTCTGAATATATCCATGGGATCTCGGAAGTGGAACCGCGTAAACATTGCGAAAGGATCAGAATCTTCAAATACGAATGCCTCGCCAGCATGAGGACCCCTGCCGCGTCTGTCATATATGTCACGCTTCTTGGGATCCGACAGTACTTCATATGCCTCACTTATGAGTTTAAAGCATTTTTCTGCTTCTTCCTTTTTGTCTGGGTTCTTGTCTGGATGCCATTTAAGTGCCAGTCGGCGGTACGCCTTCTTTATCTCATCACCTGAAGCAGTTTTTTCAATACCTAAAATTTTATAATAACAGGTTTGCTCCATCGCAGAATTTTCGATCCTAAACTATCGTACGAAAATTCCAGATGACCAAGGTCTCAGATTGAAACTAGCGCCAAGTTACTGATGTGCCATTTCAAACATCTGTGGAAAAAGAAGTATCTATAAGCAATTTCAGGATTTAGTGTTGACGGTGTGGTAAAAACTTTCAATTAAATAGTTTTCGTGGACCATAAGGACTTAATTTCGATTCCCGTCTTAGTGAAATTGTTTTTGAAGGAGAGGAAATTTCCCAGTATATCACTGTCTGCGTAGCATTCAGTCGTCGGGCAAATGATAGAATTTGAATAGAAAAAATCGTGAGTTCTCTTAAAAAGTTCAAATATTATCTTCATTTGAACCTGGCGTATTAGGTTTATCTGGTGGTTTTAGTGAGAATAAGTTTTTATACCTGTTATTGTGGATACTACGTACGCTAATCGTGTTATGAATCAATGAGATCATAGCGCATCTGAAATCTTAGTCCATTAACTTTTAGCCTAGATCATTAGATTGTCATGATCTCATCTCTGTGTTATCAATAGCTTATTTAACCATTAAATATAACTACAACTAATTTGTCTACTCAGTCGACTCACTTTTTCCCCGTTTTAGTTTACCACATACACTACTCTATATGCTCCCTCAACACACAACATACCTTCGGACAAAACACAAGCCTACATTAGACTGAAATTCGGGTGTTGCCTCTTTTAAGTTTCCTGCATTCTGTCGGAAAAATGTTGAAAGAATTTGTATTTGTGTGAGAAGGCTATTGGTTACGGAGTAAAGTAATTTCATATGTGATCCCGCAGAAATCTGAAAAGATAATTCATAATTTTTAATGATGGGAGTAATTAGATGAAAAACTCCTATAGTGGTCTCCCTTAGTACAGATGAAACTAAAGTCAATATAAAACCTTCTTTTGTAGGGATCAGTAGAAAGTCCTACTATGATATGTTTCGAGGGCGAAATCCTCAACTTATTAACATTCATTTGTAAGACGTCAACCTACATTTTTGTGGGACTCTATCGATATGAAGTGGAAACTTGTAAATAATGAAATGAAGACCTATATGCTGGTGTTACCGACTCTAAATTGCTTAATTATTCAAACGGGCTTATCAGACTTCTCTGCCAAAACTTTGGTGTTAATGTTGATAAAAAGTTAATGTTAATTCTCGATAATGTGACCTTGACAGAGAGACTTTACGACGGAGTGCTATTCTGCTGAAAATTTGTTGAGTGTAAGAGACATCTATACTGATGTCAACGTCGAATAAAGTTCGATGATCATTCATTTCAGTCTCCAATATTTTTCGTCATACAAATATTTGGTCAACTTAAGCAACTAATTTACATCTTGATTAATATTCCCTGTGATTTATATGACCACACTAGCAGTTCAATACATCTCTCTTCAGACAGTGAGGCAGAACCAAGTCTCACATATCTCGGCTCACTGTAACTTGGTGGTCCAGCCATCCTGTCTCGTGGTGGTCTTCTAGGGTAAAATCTCACCAACCAATTATATTTAGGCGTATAAATGGGAATAATATAGAACAGACAGGTTATGACCAAGCTGTTGGACATGATGGGTCTACGTACTGATCAACGTTATATAATAGTCAACTTTAGCCATGACTGAACATGAGGAGTTACGACAAACTACCTAACGCCTAGTCATTATTATTTCAGGGCAGAAATGCTTGGAACATGATAGATAAGTTTAGTCGGAGTTAGTGTAATTTAAATGGCCTCAAATATAATGGTGAAAAGATGCTTAACACTTATGAATTTCCGATTTGTTACCTGATAACTTGAGAAACAATATTAGTTTAGGTGTTGTCTCGATTTCTCTCGTTTTGACCCATTTACACTTATTGTTCGGTATTATTCGACACTACTTAATTACATAAGTCCATAAATCAGAACACGGTTGAACAGAAACTTAAAAGAATTCACAAAATGATATTTGGTCAGCATTTCACCCTGACAGCAGACCATAAGCCATTACTTACAGTATTTGGATGGAAGAAAGGGATTCCTGTTCACACGACTAACCGACTACAACGATGGGCAACAAAACATCTGAGTCGCGATTTCACGATCAAGTCTACTATCAGTCTACTATCGCTTTCGGGCAAGCTGACGCGTTATCAAGATTAACAGGTTGCCAGTCAAGGACGCCAGAAAAGACGTGTGGCAAATATAAAAGCTGAGAAAGAAGCTCATCGTGTATTTGACGAACGCAATCGATGGACTTCCGGCTGCCTTCGAAGCTATCAAGAAAATCACTGAAACTGAAAGACATTGGGTAGAGTTAAATGTTATCTTTCTACCGAACGGCCAAACAACCGTCTTGGAGGAGAACGTTCGCAATATTTTTGTCGACATGACTCACTAATGTTTGTCGACTCATATATTACGTTCGGTGATCAAACTGTTATTCCAGAATCATTGCGTCACAACATTCTCAATCTATTTCTCAGTAGTCACCCTGGAATCAACATGATGAAATCATTGGCTCTAAGTTGTACTTATTGGTGCTCAATGGACAAGGACATCGAAGACAAATGCTGTAACTATCTATCACGTCTTCAAGTCGATAAAAACCCTTCGAAATGCGAACCACGGCTTTGCCCACGTCTTCAAAAGCCTGGAAGATTTCGCCGGTTTGATTCAAGGTAAAATGTTTTTAATTATTGTGGGTGCATTTACGAAGTAGCTGGAAGTATATAGTATGCCTAAGTGTACAGCCTCAGAAGCAATCCACAAATCGCCTACTTCGTGTAGCCGTTTTGGAGTCCCAGAAACCTTGGTGACTGATAATGGCTCACAATTCATTGCAGACTCATTTAAATATTTTTGTAGCATGACACATCTACGTTCTTTGCCCCATCATCCTCAATCGAATGGAAAAGCAGAACGTTTAGTAGATAATTTTAAGGGAGCATTGCTGAGAGGGGGAATGAAAGTAAAACCAAATAGGTTATGATAAAATTTTTGACGGCTTACAGAAGCACTCCAAACCCAACTGTCCAAGGTGGAAAATCCCCCGCTGGAGCCATGTTTGGAAGACCTATTCGAACTATTTTCAGAGTCATGTTAGCACAGACCAAGTCTTAATGTCCGAAGTTTTAACGCTGACGACAGCGTGTTCATTAAGTTATGCCTCGGAAAGAATCGATGGGAATCGTGAAAATTCGTGTGAAGATTGGAAAAAGTTTTTTACAGAGTCCAAGGAACATTTGGGACATGTATCAAACACACAAATCAAATTGATAGACATAAAAGAATGATGCACACTCAAGATAGCTGAGTTTTTCACTACAGTTAATATAAGATACCTCAACAATACATGCGTATTGCAGTGGATTACAGGTCCGAATTCCCCTCCTACTTCTTTCCATTTGGTCAAACAGATAAAATCACTGTTGAGACGGCTTGCGAGAAGCATGACAGAGTATCCGTAAACCAAAAAGTATCCAAAGAGTTTCCAACCAACTAGAACGTGATGGAGCTTCCTAGAATATCAACGTGGCATGCTACATTTGGACAGCAGCGTAGTATGCCCCTTTGTAAATTGACTGGATTATAATAATAATAATATCTATAAATACCATGGTTTTCTGTACATTTTGATGCTTATCCAACAAACACTTCTCCGGCTTCTGTTTTCTGATTTGTGACTGTGGGGTTCTATAAGTTTGAGTGCAGTAGTTGTATACAGTATTCTGCGTTAATCAACTAGCGAGCATAAAATTTCAACTAACAAGGTTGGATAAAAGTAGAAATCACACAAATAAAATTGTCAGTATATGTATAATTTTTACATAAGATTTTAAAGTCGTCTCCATGTATCAACTTGCATGAATCGGTTAGAAGATAGCAAGTCAGTGTGCCCCAACACAATGCTGCACGGGACATGCTTTGATATAATGTACATACTGCTGAAAGTTGCACAGTTATGGTCTTATTTTAGTATTCTTTTTCCGTTTCATTTCATATAACTTCCTCTTCGAGCGATTTCGTGAAAAGGTATCTGTTTATTCAACAGAGATATGATTTTTAGAAAAAATTCACTTGGCATTGTATCCTGATAGAAGTATGAACCTCTTCAATAATGAAGCATTTAGATATCCTTTTTCTCGTTCATTGGTCCACGGATAGTAAATGATGTTATATTCATTCAGTTCTATATGGTAATAGAATTCTGTCGATCAAGTTGTAATGTGAGCAATTGCAATTGTCTTCTACACGAAACTCAGTAAAGGATTCTTTGAAGACATTATAATGTGAAAACTTAATTACATTTTATTCACGTTATCGATGTTGTACTATCTTGCCAATACTTGTAATAACAAAAGCTGTACATATCAGCATCGCTATAGTCAAAAGAATGATGTGCTATAAATTTGACTGAATATCAAAATATTACAAAATA